CCCCCCTGGTGCTCTCACTTGGCTGGTTTTCTGCAGCCAAACATCGGACCTTTCACTGCATCCAGACACCTGGGACAGCCTTTTCCGAACAGAGGGTGGAGCCTCCTCACCCTGTCTCCTCCCACAGCGTGCACTCTCACCAGCCGCCCGGCTCGCACAGAGACTAGCTCACAGGAGACTAAATGGGGAGCCGCCAGAGCCTTCTTCCTGAGGCTTCCCACGCCTCCCCACATGTGGCTCTCAGGTGTTCTTAAGCTGTGTAACAAACCAACACCTCGAGAAGAACCCTCTGGGGCCCTGGGCTCCAACTTGAAGCTGAGGAAGAGGCATAAGTGACATGACTCCCCTGGGTGGCAACATGTATGAAAATTGCCCTCAAGGGAAAGACAACTTGGATTGAATCAAACCCTAGAGCAAGCTGCACTCATTTGCCAAATCCCCTAAACACACATGTTAATTTATTTTTTATCTAATTATTGATTAAACCCCATTGATCCCCTTCTTGTGTCTCTGTCACTCTAAAGACCATGATGATCACCCAGAGAGACTCAGCCAGAGAAACATGGATCCCGGGGCCCACCTGGCTCTCAGCCCCACAGCTCGCTGGCAGGCACAGGCTCTGGGCCAGGTTGGCTCTTAGCAGGCAGCTCTAGTTCAACATGCAGTGACACCACACCAATTCCCCTGTTCACTCAGCACAGGCTTCCTGAGCATTTACCACGTGTCCAGCACTCTGCGAGGCACCAGAGGCACACAGATAATTAAGACATGGTGCTGGCTCCCAGAACTCACTATCCATGAGGCTCACAGAGGCAACTGACTGCTTTAGCACAGGATGGTAAATGTGATGCTTGCGGTAGACCCAGGGAGCTGAGGGAGCCCAGAGGAGGAGCACAGCCCAGCTACTGGGGCTAGGTTCCTGGCCTGGTGAGCTCCCCAATACCCTGGCTCCCCTAAATTCTAGCCCCCTAAATCCTAGCTTCTCTGAATCCACAGCCAGGCAGGGCCACCGAATGCCAGGGTTTGCCAGTGCTGGCGCCCACCTGAGCCTCTAAAGACAGCACACCCCCTCTGCTCATCAGGGGGAGTTCCCATCCATGCTGAGCCCTGGGGGGCAGTGTGCACCTGTCATATCAAATGGCCCTTGCTTCCATCAGAGACCAAGCTAGCCTGTCCCAGCAGGAGTGCTGCATACCAAATCAGCCCTACCTGTCTGCTCCATTGGCCCCCGCTCGCCTTTACCTGGCCTTGTCACTGCACACAGCAGTTTACTGGACTTAAATCTACGCATCCTCGAAGACTGATGAACAAGGCGTTCTCTGAGCTGTGTGTGTGTCAGACTGATATTTCACAACATGGGGGTCTGGGCAGCTAACATATTCTTGTTCTTGGAGGTCCTGTCATTTCTGCCTCAGGAAATAATGTGCTATTCGTAAATGCAGCAACCCTTGGGTTCTGAGTATTGTTTCTTTCCATTTTCAGTGCTCAGAGAATTAGAAAAATGGCAGTTGGCTAGGTGCTGCAGCTCCCACCTGTAATCCGAGCACTTTGGGAGGCCAAGGCGGGCGGATCACCTGAGGTCAGGAGTTGGAGACCAGCCTGGCCAACATGGCAAAACCCCATCTCTACTAAAAATACAAAAGTTAGCTGAGCGTGGTGGTGGGCACCTGTAATCCCAGCTACCTGGGAGGCTGAGGCAGGAGAATCGCTTGAACCCGGGAGGCAGAGGTTGCAGTGAGCTGAGATTGCATCACTGCACTCCAGCCTGGCGGCAGAGGGAGACTCCATCTCAAAAAAAAGAAAAATGAGAGCTGCAGAAGTCCACATGAGGGACACTGTGTAGCGCCCGCCTGGCCACCGCGAGACTCCTCTCACTGACACAGTAACCTTACCTGGCCTTCTTCCTGCTGCTCCTCTGGACGCCCCACTGTGCCTCCACTTGACCCAATGCTTCATCTCCTGATCAGAACGCATCTCCTCCCTCGCTGTGGCACTCACTGCCCGGCCGCAGGGTAGCCGACCACTAGGTGGACAGCAGGATCCGCCTCTCCTGACCTTGCTTCCGGGGCAGTCCCAGCAGGAGACCCTGGGCTCCCAGGCCCCGCCCCCAAGACCCTGGGCCCTGGCTGTCGGGATGCCAGCTCCTCCCTCCTCCCTCCGTCCTATTGGAGACCTGCAGTTCACCCAACCCCACGGTTCCTGATACCAAGGCAAAGTCTCCTAGAGGGACATTTCTCTCCCGGCTCAGCCATAGGAATGGGCTCATTCTAAAGGCCCCACCCGTCCTGCTGTCATTCACGGCGCTTCCTCCCCTGGCACCTGGCTAATACGAGAGTATTTGTCCAAACCCCCACCTCACCTTTTTTCCAGGACAGAATATCCCATTTTTCAGATTCCCTTGAGCAGCCCTCAGCCACAGCTGCGCCTGCCACGGCCCCTCCTGAGCTCCAGACATCCTCTCAAGAGTGCAAACCCCAGCTGCGTGTCCAGTCCCTCCTGGGGGAGTCCCTGTTCCCGCGTCTGTAGCCTCCTGGGGGCCCTCAGCCCGTTTCCATAGCTTGGCTCACAGCTAATGGGAAACCAGCTTAGGAGCCGGGCAAGGATGGCACCATTTCCTTGGGGAAGGGTGGATGGCTCAGGCTTCAGGAGACATTGATCTGTCCCATTGCTAAAGAGGGATTTTTGCTTACCCTGAAGAGGAGCTTGAGGCCTACACCCTCTGCATCAGTGTGTTTCTGGTGGCCCTGCCAGTCTTCCTTGTGAGTCCCTCGAGTCAATGGTTTGCCTGCTGGGATATAGGAACCAGTTATAAACTAGCTAGTGGCTTGAGCAAGCAGTGTGTGTGTGTGTGTGTGTGTGTGTGTGTGTGTGTGTGTCTTGGAGATAGAGTCTCACTCTGTCACCCGGGCTGGAGTGTGGTCGTAGGATCTCAGCTCACTGAAACCTCTGCCTCCCAGGTTCAAGCAATTCTCCTGCCTCAGCTTCCCAAGTAGCTGGGACTACAGGCACACACTACCACACCCGGCTCGTTTTTTGTATTTTACTAGAGATGGGGTTTCACTGTGCTGCCCAGGCTGGTCTCGAACTCCTGAGCTCCGACAATCTGCCTGCCTCCCTCAGCCTGCCAAGGTCCTGGGATTTCAGGCGTGACTCACAGGACCTGGCCTTGTGTGTGTTTATTTAGCCCACATGACTACCTTAAGAAGTAGGCCCTGCTGCTCTTCCCGTTTTGCAGGTGAGGAAACTGTTTAACTCAGAGGTTAATTTTTCTGATGTCACACAGCTGAATAGGGGAGCCATGGCTATACAGCCAACACGTTTGACCTGCTCCCCAGGCTGCCCGCCAAGGGGCACACACCTGCCACCTTCCTTACCAGGGGAGTAGAGGGGTGGGCTGGGTTGACCGCTGCCCCCCGCGATGGCATTTCCCACTTGACATTTGTAAAATTGTGGTTTAAAACATGAGTAAATAGACATGAGCCCTGCCTTGCCAGGCCATGCCTGGCGGCAGGAGGGTAGGCTGCATAGTGCAGACGGAGGGACTCCATGCTTTCCCGCTGAGGACTCAGTGCACCTGAGTCGAGGCGTGGACTAGCAGCCCTGGGGAGTGAGTCTGCTCTAAACTCCAGGTCCTTGCCCTGCCAGTTACATGGCCTTGGGCACGTTTCTCTGAACCTCTCTGAACTTGTTTCCTCACTTGTAAAATGGGATATCATAAAGTACCTACCTTACAGGTTTTCAACATTTTATTTCTAAGAATTAAATAAGGCAAAGCATGTAAAGGGTGTGATGCTTATGCTTTGTGAACAGAAACTGCCCCCAGAGGCCCCTAGTGCTTGGGGACGTTACCCTCCAGTCCTTACTTCTGTGCCAGGATCTCTCAGGGTAGGAAGTTCCACTTAGTGGAAATATTCTGTAGCAGTGATTCCCTTTTTAAAATAGCTCCACCCCCACCCCCAGGGCTCTGGACCCAGCTGAGGGGTATGTTGGGGAGGGAGTGGGGGGTGGAGGAGGCTTCAGGGACAGATGCTCATGTGGCAGTCCCTGCATTGTCCCTGAGGCCAGCTTTTTCAGATGGACCCATCACATGTGGTGTGTGCCCAAACCACTCCCTCCTCCAGAACCCCCCTCTGTGAATATCTGAAACACATTAAAGATTGAGAGGAAATTCATAATGTATCTACCAAGCTATTGGTATGAAATAACTGCTGAAGAAAATTATATGAAGCAGAACAGAAAAGACCAAAGCAGTTACATAAAACAAAAGGAATTTAGTAATTTGAAACGTAAGAGGATCAGAATCAGAGATAATAGACATACTAGGTTAACGGGAAGAAAAATAGTCAAACTAGGTAAATAATGTTAACTCAATATTAGCTTGCAAAGGAATCAAGTAGAATTGTTTCTATTTAAGACTAGTTATTAAAACAGCACTTAAACATGGGGAAGGGGTGGAATCATGAAAGATACAAGCAGCAGTAGCTTAGAATGCAAGGGTTCACCCTTCCTCTCCCGCCCCAGCAAAAATGGCTCTTCCAGTTGAAGGAAGCTGCCCAGTACTGAGTGCTTGCCCCTAGGGGGCGCCCAAGAGCAGAGGCGCTCGCCAAGGGATCCAGGATCCCAGAAATACCCCCGCGACCTGCCCCAGCTGCCCCCTGCTTTCCCAAGCAGCATAGGGATTTAGAGCAGAACTTCTCCCTCAGGCAGAAACGGCCCCACGAGGCACATGGGACTTCACAGGTCATGTCCACATCCACACAATCATCAGCAGTAAATCCTTTTCATCCAACCGTTCATTCAGTCCAGGGGTACTGCCTGACCCTGCCTGCCAGGCACTGCAACCCACGCTTACAACACAGCATGCGGAAGCAGATTTCGGTTACAAGGGTTCAGAGCAGGGAGCGGGAATAAAGGGAATGAGCTCCCCTCACCCCAGACGCCCTACCTTTCAGGGTGGGCAGGTGCTCCTGAGAGCTGCCTCTCCGTCCAACGGGATACACCCTGTGGCTCTGCAGTGTCGGTAAAATGAACCAAGTGCAGCTGAGCTTGGGGTCAAGCAGTCCTTGAGGGTGATCTCAGCCCACACAGCTGATAGAGCCTTCTGAGGACACAGGTGATGTCCCTGTACTGCCCTCAGAGCCCAGTCCTGGTCTCCAGCGCATAGTGCCTGTCCACAGGGGCGAGGAGAAAACCTTCCTTTTGTTATATTGGGGTTCCGGGGAGCCCCCTCAGTTCCCCTGAGGATGTTTCTCCAGGCTCTTGGTCTATCCTCATAAAAGTAAATGCCGGACTCAAAAGTGTTTATAGAAAGTGATTTATTTAGAGAGAAACAGGAGAAGGAGAGGGAAAGAATCAGCTAACTCTCACACTGAGTGGGAGAATCCAGAAAGATGGAGTCCAGGAGAGGAAAGCAGCTCCCACCTTGAGTGGAAGGGAGCAGAGAGAGCTGGAGTTTAGGACGGAAGATGGGCTTCCACGGGAGAGTGTGGAAGGGGACTCCAGAGGGGAAATCCAGGAGAAAGAAAGACGGCTTCCCTGAGAGAGTGCTGCAGAAAGGGACCCAAACATGGAGTCGGAAGGGGTGTGGAAGAAGAGGACTTCTAACCTGGGAGGAACCCCCACCTTCTCCGGGACCCCGGGCCAATGAGAGGTGTGCCTTAGAACTTCCGCTGGAGTGATTGACTCCTAGTTTCTTCCCGAGCCCACGAAATTTAAATACAAACCGTTAAATCTCCCGGATGGAGAGAGATGGGAGGGGGGGAATGGCGCTGGGAAGTTCTTGCCCTTAAAACTACGCCCCCTTGTGGACCGGGCAAGAGAACACATTCCGTCCCTTTCTCAAGAAATGGAACAAACACTAGCTGAGCCTCTTCTACGGGTCTGGATGAGGTCGGGTGCTTTACACATATGAGGCAGGATAAGCTTTGTAGCTGGTAATGTCTGTTTTTTCCCCAGAGCCCTAGGCAGGAGTAGGGCCTCAGAGAGGAACAGCCGTGTGGGGGTCCCAGATTCTCAGAACATCCTCAGTCACTGGGGTGGCTCAGCCATGGCAGAGCTGGCTGACCTGAAGTGACCCTAGGAACTGGAAACAGGGGTGTCTCAGTGGTGAGCAGTGCAGACAGGCACGAGGCAAGACCCAGGCTCTTGTTCTTTCTCTACTGTGTGTGTGTGTGTGTGTGTGTGTGTGTGTGTGTGTTGTGAGAACAGCCCTGAAAAAAGAGAGTCTTAAATGTTTTCCTTACTTGGCAGGGTGAGTGCTCAGAGTGAAAGCTAAATTGCTTTACTTGTCATCAAGGTAGCAGAGTCACTGGGATTCTCATACCTTGGAGTATGAGAGTAGAAAATGAGACAGACACTCTAGAAGAGAAAGTGTTTCCTGCACACTGGCGTTTGCAAGGTGCACCATATTCATAACAAGGAATCCTCACAATACCGAACCGCCATTGTCAAATAGCTATTATACTCTCATCTTGTAGATGAAGAATCAAGGTGCAGAGAAAATCATTCAAGCTGGCCGCAGGGTTCTTTCCACCGGGCCTGGTCCAGTGGTTGGCAGGGGTGCTGCGGCCACAACTCACACTTTTAGCAAAAGCCATGTGGGGAATACAATTCCCACTGTGGAGATGCAGATTGGGTTGTTCAGGAGAAAAGGTGTGGATGGAGGGAAGGTGAAAGTTGTCTGTCTATAAATAAGGGTTCATTGAACCTGGGTGAAAATGGCATTCACACTCTAGAGGATAGGAAAAGAGGCTGCAGGGAGTTTCCCTGAACCATTTGGCTTCCTGTACCTCATGCAAACCAAGTGTTTATTCCTGTTCCTCCCTCCCTCTTGGTTCCTTTGACCCGATTTCCTGGCACAGCCGGCAGTGACAGCCAGAGCTGTCCTCCCCGACCCTCACCTCTGTGTCTTGTTCAAGGCATCTCTTCATCCATGCATTTAAGGTCTCTATTACCCGACAGAACACTGCCTAGGAGCTGCAATCCAAAGAGAAAAAATAATAGCAAATGCTACCGTATTAGTCTGGGTTCTCCGGAGGGACAGAGCTAATGGAATAGATGTATATATAAAGAGGAGTTTGTTAAGGAGTACTGACTCACACGATCACAAGGTGAGGTCCCACAATAGGCTGTCTGCAAGCTGAGGAAGAAGGAGGCCAGTCCAAATCCTAAAGCTGAAGAACTTGGAGTCCAATGTTGGAAGGCAGGAAGCACCCAGCATGGGAGAAAGATGTATCTTGAGGCTAAGCCTGTCTGGTTTTTCCTCGTTCTTCTCCTTGCTTTTATTCTGGCTGTGCTGGCAGCTGATTAGCTTGTGCCCACCCAGCTGGAGGGTGGGTCTGCCTTTCCCAGTTCTGCTGACTCAAATGTTCATCTCCTCTGGCAACACCCTCACAGACACCCAGGATCAATACTTTGCATCCTTCAATCCAATCAAGTTGACACTCCATATTAACCGTCAGTTACTAATGATAAGTTAATGCTTACCATGTATTGAAAGGTTTTATTGAGCTTGTGACGGGGTGAGTGCTTTGTCACTGGCAAAGTCCCTGCTCTCAAGGAGCTCACAGTCAGAAAGGAAAGAAACACAGATGGAATTTCAGCCTGGAGTTCCAAGTGCTGCCCTCAGGGAGATGCTGGGCCTGAGCTGGACTGAGGCTGCAGAGCCCTTCCTTGAGGGACTTGAGGGAGATGCCCGGGGGGAATGGTTAAATGCCTGGGTCGCTGGCAGGATGGCATCCTCTAGGTCAGGACTGTCAGGTTCTCTTCTGTCCCCCGAGAGTGGTCCTGAGAGGCCCTGGCACACACTGCTGGGAGGAAATCATCTGAGGTCATCGCTGCACAGGACGGTTCTGAGGCAGGACGTTTTTGCGGATGCAGTCACAGCTTTCCCCTCCTTCCCTTTTGCACATTCAGAGGGGCTGTTTGCCCTTCCGTCAGGAAAGGCTGAGAAGGGGTGGAGATTAGGAAAAAAGAGAGCCTTCCAGCCTGTGTTTCTAAAGCTTTGCCCTTAGGGCAGCAGAGAGGGCTCTGGGCCTAAAGAGCATATTGGATGTTGTGGAGGAGAGAACACAGGCAAGCTGGTTTTGGTTCCCCAGAGAAAGTGCCTTGGCTACCAGTCCTGTGCTTTATTTTGTTTTATTTATTTTTATTTCTTTAATTTTAGAGACAGGGTCTTGCCCTGTCTCCCAGGCTGGAGTGCAATGGTACAGTCACAACTCACCGCAGCCTCAACCTCCCAGCTCACGCGATCCTCCTGCGTCAGCCTCCTGAGTAGTAGCTGAGACTACAGGCATGCATCATCATGCTCGGCTAATGTTTGATTTTTGCAGAGATGGAGTCTCACTATGTTGCCCAGGCTGGTCTCAAATTCCTGGGCACAAGCCATCCTGCTGCCTCGGCTTCTCGAAGTGCTGGGACTATAGGTGCATGCCACTGTGTCCAGTCCAGTTCCGTGCTTCATTTTGGCACCAGAGCCTAGACTGGGTGTGGGGGCCTCTGACGGTGTGGAAGCAGAGCTCATGCTTTTCAGTGTCCTAAGCTTGAACTGCTGTCTCACCACTGCCTGCTGTGTAGTTTTGAGCAGGCTGTTTCACTTCTGCTAGCTGCAGCTTCTCCCTTGTGAAACAGGGAAAATGATAGCCCTCTCCCTGGTGTGGTTGCTGTGAGGAGGGGCAGGGGGTGAGTCTGGCAAAGCCCGGTCCACAATTTCCAGCTCCTTCTCCCTCCTCACCCCCTTCTTCCCCCTCCTTCCTTTCTGCCCTTGCTCCTCTGACCCTGAGGACTCCTGAGGTCTAGCCTCACCCTGCCCTCTGCTCCCCTACTCCCTTTCTCCCCCAGCAGCCAGCCCCAAGATGGGTTCCTTCCCTCCCTGATCTGGTTATTCATTACCGGATCCATGTTGCCTTCCTCCTAAGTTGCAGGAAGACCTCTGAAGATGCCCTGAAAAATCAACTCGCAAAAGGCAGATTAATGGGAGGAAAGGCATACAAATGCATTTAACCTGTGTCCCCGGGAGCCTTCAGAACGAAGACCCAAAGATACAGGGGGAAATTGTCCATTTTTATGCTTAGGTTCAACAAACTGTGGGCAACTGTGCAGAAATATGAATGGACAAAAAGTGTCTGATCTAATGGAAGGAGCGGGGAGACCCAGCCAGGCCTGTGGGTCTGGATTCTTAGCTCCTCTGAGCATGACGTCCTTCCTCTGGGTGTGGGGCAGGGCCCTCTCTGGAATGGGGGGAATCTCATGACCCACAGCCAAACAATGATCCCTTCAGATCATGGCTTAGCTTTGACGCAGCAAGGCAAGGGCAAGTTGGAATAATACTTTAGGTTTCATGGTTGGCTTTGGGGAAAGGGGCTTCTGGTTCCTGTGGCTGAGAGACGGGAGGGCAGGAGAAGGTCAGAGAGCGGCTTTGCCTTCTGAGGCCTGTGTTCCGAGGCCCCACACGGGGACCTCTTCCCGCCCTCCCCCTGCATCCGCGGCACCTCACACCGCGGCTGGCAGCAGCAGGCGCTGGGGGTTTGTTTAGCAAAATCCCGCGGTTTGGGTAGCAAAGAGGAGGCGAGCAGAGAGCAAGGAAGAAAAGGCCAGAAGGTCAGACGCAGCCTCGGCGACAGGCCCCGCCGGCTCCGGGGGCTTGTCCCGTGCCCCGCCAGCGCCCCCCAGCGCCCCCCCAGCGTCCCCCAGTGCCCGCCAGCGCCCACCAGCGCCCCACCTGTGCCCGCCAGCGCCCCCCAGCGCCCCCCAGTGCCCACCAGCGGCCCACCTGTGCCCGCCAGCGCCCACCAGCGCCCAGCCATGCTGCCCCGAGTGCTGCAGCTCTCCCTGTGCGCAGCAGGTGAGGCCCGGCCTGGAGGAGGGTGCCTGGCTCCATGCTCCCCAGGGCTGGGAGCTGAGGGAAGGGGCGCTCCCCTGAAGCGCCCAGATTTCCAGGTTGGAGGGGAGGCAATGGCGGAAGGAAACGAACGCTTTTCAACCCTGAGAACAGGGGTGGGAAGGGAGCCCCGGCGCCGCTCCCTGCCCGCGGCGCCTCCCCCGACACCCCGCCGCCGTCCGGCGCCCAGGTGCGGAGCCCAGAACGCCTCCATCCGTTCCCTCACCGCGCTCACCAGAAACGGTCTGGCCGCGGCGGCGCCGTCCCAGCCGGGCGGGTCAGGAGCGTGTGCAGTGCGCGGAAGGGCATCGCCGGGGGCGGCCGGGGCCGGGCGCTGTGGGGTCTGCGGGCCAGGGCGGCAAGGGCTCTCGCGGGAAGGGCGCTGTGGGTGAGCCTGAGGGGAGGAGGGGGCGCCACGGCCGCCAGAAAAGCCCGGCGGGGGCGCCGCGGGGAGCGAAGCGCGCGGGGCCCTGGGCTGCCACCCGGCGAGGCGGGGCCGGTCTTCCGCCCTCTGGCTGCAGAGCGGGGGCGGCCCAGGGTAGAGGCGACTTGGGCCCAGGCGGCGGCAGCAACGCAGAGAGGGGCAGGGTTCAAGGAAGCTCAGGGCCGTGGAACTGACGGAGAGACGGAGGCTGCTCCCGAGGCCGGCGGGAGGGGCGCCCTGCACGGAGCTGGGGCGCCGGGGGTGGACGCCGTCCTGAAATCGGCGATGCGGGCCGCGGCCAGTTATTTAAAAATCACGATAAGAAGCAGCAGAACGCTTTTCTCAGCGGCGGGAAGCATCCTCCGCGGGCGCCCTTGCGCAGGGGCCGCCTCAGACAGGCGCTCCCGCCCGCTTCTTCCCCGCCACCGCCTGGGCCCAGCTCTCTGGTCTCATCCTCCTCTCCTGGGGCATCTAGCTTCAAGGGTTCCTTGTGGCCAGGACCCCCAAGATCCCGGCGCCAAGGCCTTCACTCCTCTCTGCCTCTTCCGCAGGCAGGACCTGGGCAGAGCAGGGCAGACCTGTCCCGCCGCATTTCCCGGGACCAAAGGCATGGAATCAAGGAAGGAAGGAACAGAGATCTTGGGGCTTGGGGTGGCTTCCTGGGAGACCTCTGCTCCGCTCGCCAGTCCCTCCCTCCCTTTTTCTCTCTTTCCTTTCCTCCCTCCCTCCCTCCTTCCCTCTCTCCCTTCTCTCTTCCTTCCCTTCTCTTTCTTTCTTTTCAATACATTGAGCCCTTGTGATGTGCCCAGCATTGTCTGGGCCCTGGGAATATCATGAAAAATGAAGTTTGTTCTTTGCTCCTGAGTTGCCTAGACCAGGTAGTACAGACAGAAAAGCCAAAAGGTCTCTTCCCTGAAAGCTTTTAAAAAATCCTGATGCTGGTCCCAGCAACAGAGATTCAGATCTTTGCTCTAGGCGGGCCTGGAAATCTCTGTGTTTGAAAAGCTTGCTAGGTGACTCCAGGGTGCAGCTTTGGCTGTGAGCCCCTCCTGGAGGGGCAGTGCCCTGCCATGGATAAGGGCCTGGAGCTGGGAGCCTACCCAGGGTTCTTGAGTCTGGGCTGTATTCCCTTCCCACTGGGTGGCACTGGCCATGTCTCTTTAACTCTCTGTGACTTGGTTCCCGCATTTGTAAAACAGGCAGAGCGATATCTTAGGCAGCTGGAAGAATTCCGTGAGCTGACCGCGCACGGCGGCGCTCAGCAAGCCTTGTCTGTCGTTAACAAGCACTAACTGCAGCATACAGGAAAGGCACCTCACCTTTTCTGCAGAAAGGATGGGGCAGAAGGGTGGGGAGTTAGCTGGGCAAAGGGGTTGGGGAGATGAGGGAATGGGAGAATAGGATTCGTGGGTTGAGGGAGCTGGAGGAGGTGGCTGGCTCTTCCAGATCAAGAGAGCAGCTGGTGCCAAGGCTGGGAAGCAGAGCTGGATACGACTGGTGGGCCAGTGGCGAGGCGCAGAGGGGCCGGGGGGGCCCACCAGGGTGTGGCTTAAAGCTCTTTGAGAACTAGAGGTGGGGAGGGGAGGGACAGCTGTGCTGTGACAGCCTCTCCTGCTCCAGCCCTGCAGCTAGTGAGCAGTGAGAGGAACTTCGTTCTGGTGAAGGAGGAGCTGAGCTGGTCCGACGCCCAGCAGCACTGCCGGCTACACCACACAGACCTCGCTGACCTGCAGCTAAGTGGCCTGTTGGAGCTGTCCTCCCTCATGACCGGCACCCCAGCTTGGATTGGCCTCTTTTTCGACGCAAGCACTTCTGGCCTGAGATGGTCCAGCGGCTCCTCCTTCACAGCCCTGGAGTGGGCCCCAAAGCTGCCCGAATTTGGGGTGGGCCTCTGTGCCACGCTGTACACTTGGCTGACATTACCCAACATTGGGGCTGCCTCCTGCACAGCCCAGAAGCCCTTCTTCTGCTACTATGGTGTGTTCACATTCACATTTCAGGCTTCACTTCCCCCTACAGGCGCCTTGCTCTGTTAACAGCTCAGGTTGGAGTGCAGTGGTGTGCTCATAGCTCAGTGTAACTTCCAGTTCCTGGACTCAAGTGAGTCTCCTGCTCAGCCGCCTGAGCATCTTGCACTACAGGTGTATGCCACCACACCTGGCTAATTTAAAAAAAAAAAAAAAAAAAAAAGCCAGGCATGGTGGCTCACGCCTGTAATCCCAGCACTTTGGGAGGCTGAGGTGGGTAGATCGCTTGAGATCAGGAATTCAAGACCAGCCTGGCCAACATAGTGAAAACCCGTCTCTACAAAAGATACAAAAAATGAGCTGGGCTTGGTAGTGGGCGCCTGTAATCCCAGCTACTAGGGAGGCTGAGGCAGGAGAATTGCTTGTATCCAGGAGGCAAAGGTTGCAGTGAGCTGAGATCGCGCCATTGTACTCCAGTCTGGGCAACAAGAGCGAAATTTCGTCTTAAAGACAAACAAACACCTTTAATAGAGACAGGGTCTTGCTATGTTGCCCAGCCTGGTCTCAAATTCTTGTGATCCTCCTGCCTCAAGTCTCCCAAAGTGTTGGGATTACAGGCATGAGTCATTGGGCCTGGCCAGGGTTGCTTTTTGCTTTTCAACAGCAAATGGGGGGGGGGGGGGGTCGGGGGTCGGGGAGAGTGGGGGGGAGGGGGAGGGGGCGGGAGGAGATCCACCGTTTCAGAGGAAAACTGGTCATAACTTTACTCTTTGCCACATCACTTGCTCTCTGTGGTCTTCATTTCTATTTCCTCTGCACCCCTATTCCGAAGACCCCATTAGAAAAAATGGGTGCAACTCAGGATAGAGTAAAAATAAAATCTGGAAAGTTCTCTTGCCAGTAAAGGATTTGAGGGAAGGAGAAAAAGGGAGCCAAAAGGGAAATTCAGGCTGGGGTTTGGGGGATGCGTGTGCACCTGGGCAGAATTCAGTCTCCTTCTCATGAAGCACAGGTGGATGGTTAGGGTCTCAGAGCTGGGCAGGAGGGGGGCGGCCGCCCTCTAGGAGATCCCCTGCTTCCTGTTAAGTGGGCAGTGTGAGCCAGCTCCTCAGGCATCTTTGTGGGAAATCCGCCATTGGTACGCCATGCACAAGGACCCCTCCTTGTGCTCCACCGGGCCCCTCTCAGTCCTGGCTGCTGGTGTGCCTGAATCCCGACTTGTTGCTTCTGGGAAGATCATGCAGGAGCTAGCTGTAGTGTGCACAGCACTTGTCCGGTAAGAGTGTCACTGCCTGCTTTTCCCTCTGTCAGCCAAACTCAGTCCAACTCTGTGCCATCTTCACCTCTCAAATACAGTTATGGAGGGCTGACCTCATGTGTGCCCAACACGGCCACATGGTGCCTGCGCCGGGACCTTGAGAATAGCAGGTGTAGCTGCCTAGATTTCAATGCTGGGTTCCCAAGGGAGTAAGGAGATTACAGGGATGGTAAGTGTGCCTGGGACCAGGAGGCCTGCAAAGGGAGGGGTATGTATGTGGGGTTGTCCCCTGCTCCTGACACCGTCCCCGCACTCCACCAAGATGGGTCCTGACCCCTCACTCTCTCCAGCTCTGCACCTCTGCTGCCAGCACAGGAGCCAAGTCAGTATTGTCTCTCCTCTGGTCTGCCCTTGCCCACTAAAGTTTGTTCTCTACACAGAGTGAGCTTGTAAAAAGGCAAATCGGATCACTTCCCTGTAAAGAAAAGAATCAGTAGGCCCTGGCAGCACTCAGAACCCTGTCCTTCAGCCATCAAGCCTCGCCCCGCCCCGCCCCGCCCCGCCCCGCCTCGCCTCGCCTCCTCTCCTACTCCTGTCCCAGCCACCACGACTTCCTTCGGCTCCTTCCCACCGCAGGACCTTTGCTGCGGGCTGGTGAAATTAGGACAAAATGTACATCATTGAAAGTAGAATTCGATCTTGCATGTATACAGAGCTTTAGAGTTTGCTGTGGCTGTGCTCGGGAGGCTCCTCCCAGCCCTCTGTAACACTCACTCCTTCTCATAGTCTCTTCAAGAGCAAGGACTCTGCTTCTTTTACTTCTGCACCATTTTCCTAGGGCATAGAATAGGGTTGGCAACACAATAGGTGCCCAGTATTTATTGAATGGATTGAATCTATGTAGAAAGGGATGGATGAGCCTGTCTGCCCCTGAGCTCGGTCTTCCTGGCTGTAATTGGGCAGCTCCTGGTGTCTGCAGAGGATCCTGGGCCTCCCCGTAACTCATGGTCTGTTTCTGTTTTACAGACCCTGATGTCGGGCACCTCATCTCCACGAAGCCCTCTCTCAGCCTAACCACCTCTCCAAAGCTAGGTACATAGCTGCCCCCATTCCCTTTTCTCGGAATTTGGCTTGTTTTGCCTTGGACCTCTCCACCAGCACCAGCCGGCAGGATCTCCACCCGCAGGTTTCCTTGTTCCCCTGACTCCTGCCTGGCTGTCTGGGAGGGATTTCCTGGCTGAACCCCACTGGAGAGAATCAATGTTCTTTATTCTTATTTTTTATTTATTTTTGAGATGGAGTCTCGCTCTCTCACCCAGGCTGGAGTGCAATGGCACGGTCTTGCCTCACCGCAACCTCCGCCTCCCAGGTTCAACCAATTCTCCTGCCTCAGCCTCCTGAGTAGCTGAAATTACAGGCGCTTGCCCTGCTTGGCTAATTTTTGTATTTTTAGTAGAGACAGGGTTTCACCGTGTTGGCCAAGCTGGTCTCAAACTCCTGACCTCAGGTGATACACCCGCCTTGGCCTCTCAAAGTGCTGGGACTACAGGCGTGAGCCACCACAGCTGGCCTATTTTTTATTTTTTAAGACGTGGATGGCTTCACTCTCTCCCAGGCTGGAGTGCAGTGGTACACTCACAGCTCACTCGACCTTCCTAGTCAATGATCCTCCTGCCTCAGCCTCCTGAGTAGCTGGGACTACAGGCATATGCCACTATGCCCAGCTAACTTTTTTGTATTTTCAGTAGAGATGGGGTTTTGCTATGTTGCTTAGGCTGGTCTTGAACTCCTGGGCTCTAGCGATCCACCTGCCTTGGCCTCCCAAAGTGCTGGCATTACAGGTCTGAACCACTGATCCGACCAATGTCTATTTTTCTGATGGGCCCAGAGGGGATGGTGACTGGCTCCAGGTCTCCAATCAGAGACTGGAATCAGACAGTGGGCCCTGGCTGCAGCCCAGCTGTCACTCTGGGGATGGGACAGGGTGGTTCCTCTTCACAGCCCAAGTACCTGCTCATCCATCTGGAGGTGGGGGTGGCTTCTCTGAAACAGTGCTCTCTGGCATTACTGCCTTGGTATCTTTTGAAAAGTTTCTTCCTATCTGATAGAGAGGAGTTCTATGACATGCAATCTACTCCCTGAGTCTGGTCTGTGGAGTGGGTTTTCTGCCTGGTGTGGAGCACAGAGCTGTAGAGTGAAGATGGCGGGGCTTCCCATCCATCTAGCATGGCATGAGTTCGGGCAGGTCGTCACCTCCCTGAGCTTCCTTTTCCTCATCTGTGAACTGAGGTCAATGACACCAACTTCTCAGAATGGTAGTGGGGGTTTTCAAAGATGGCACAGGCCACATGCGTAGTTCAAGGGCTAGCACGTACTAGGGGTTTAATCAAGAGTAACTTTAAAAAAACCAGTTTAGATAGGGAAAATGATAGGTAAATCAGAGGCAAATCTCAATGGGCTTAGGTAAAAGGCCCATGTCTGAGTCTGGGAGGCTCCATTTGAATTTGAACATGTGACTCCCAACTCAGTAAACACAAGTGTTTTCTCTTCCTGGTGGGCCCCCCGGAATCAATGCCTCAGGTCGAGTCCCAGCCGCTTACATCGTTCCAAACTTGCATTGTCTAGAAGCTCAGATGTGTGGGTGTATGTGCTACAAGATGAGACGGTCCTGATGAAGGGCAGGGTAGGCTGGGCCTGTCCTATCTCAGGACCTGGCCCAGTCCAGCCTCGGGCAGGGACTGGCAGTGGTGGCTGTGGGAGGTCGGCATCTCAGTCTGTCTGGGCTCCCTGGAAGGCTAGGCCACCGAGCCTGCTCTGCCTCCTGTCTACTGGGCCCGTCCCTCCAGGCTCGCCTCTTCTCCCTGGCTCTCCAGGCACAGTGAGCCTGGGAACATCACACACTTCCTCTATTCTGCTTAGCCCTGGATTTGCCTGAGAGCCAGGGGGACAGGCACAGCCCCTAGAAAACACACTCGAAGGTGACCCCAAACCAAGATTGTTCTGTCTGCCTCATAACCCCCCCACAAATCGTCACTACCATCTTGCTATGTGCATACTATTAATAAATCACTGTGCTAAACCATTTGCATATGTGATCTCATGCGGTCTTGACCTTAGGTACTATGATTACCCCATGGTATAGATGAAGAAATTAGGACTTAAACTGAACCTGTGAGGCCATATAGCTACAATAACTCTTAACCCTGCGTTCCCTAATGCTGCTATGATAGCTCACCCATTCTTCCAACCTAGTATTTAGTCTACCTATAAAATTGTGGTTTTGAACAAACCTAACACTCAAGGACTGGGGACAAGGGTCCGCCCATGTCAGGCCACAATTCTATCCCCGGGGGTGATGGAGGCTGGGCTGTCAGAGATCCAGGCCCTCAGGCCTGTGATGTCCACATTCTTTGACCCCAGCTGTGGTCCAGATCGGTGGTCAGACCTTCATGAGATTTGACCAAGTGATGACATGGTACTCGGCCCTGCTGTACTGCCGCAGCCACCACACGGACCTGGCCGACCTGCAGATAGTGACGGACAAGACAGGCAAGGAGGCCTTGAGATCCCTCATGAGTGAGACTGAAGCCTGGATTGGCCTCTACCTCAATGCGAACTCGGGATCTCTCAGCTGGTCCAGTGAGCTGGGGACCAGCATCCCCTCCTGGCTGCAGGTGCCGATGATGGTGAGAGGACTGTGCACAGCTCTCGGCATCTATGTGACCTACTCCCCGCAAGTGTACACAGTGAACTGCTCTTCCCTGCTGCCCTTCATCTGCTTCTATGGTGAGTGACAGTCTGCTCTTGCTGACCCTGGGCCCACTGAGGATAGAACGAGGTGGGAAACGCGTTTATTGGGCAGCCGGTGACACGGAGGATAGACTCAAGGAAGCACTGCTAGACTCTGAGGGTAACTGAGTTCGGAAGCAGGCTCCTGAGATCCTTGCACTATAAATGTGTCAGGAGGTTGTATTATTTTAATCCTGGAGATCTTTAAATAATGGAATGGACTCATCCAGCCTTAGGGCACTGGCAGTTAGCAAGAACAATTCGTTATTGGACAAGGAAGTTAAGAGTCTGGGCTTTGGAATCAGATAGACTTTGCCGCTTGCTGGAAATAAGGTGGGCAGCTTCTCAGAGCCTCCTTCTCCTCATCTGGGAAATAAAATGAACAAAAGGAACTGATGGCACCCACCTCATAGGATGGCTTTGAGGGCTGAGTGAGAAAGTGAATGTAAGGGGCTGAGTAGAAACCCTGGCACAGAGGGGGCCAGCCAGATGGGAGCCATGGTCGTTGTTTTGTCCCTGTGAATGCATGGGAGCCCAAGGCCTGCCTGCTGACCCCGTTGACAGAGGAAGCAACCCCCAGGCCAGGCAGAGGTGCTCTGAGCCTGCCCGCGGCTGTGTGATAGGTATCCTCCTGCCTTGCCCATTCCTTCTCTCCTTCCTCACTTCCTCCTCCCACTCATTTTTTGGTAAGTTTTATTGAGATATGATTCCCATCTTAAAATTTGCCTTTTTATTTTTTATTAAATTAATTATTTAATTAATTTTTGAGACAGTCTCGCCCTGTCACTTAGGCTGAAGAACAGCGGAGCGATCTCGGCTCACTGCAACCTCCACCTCCTGGGTTTAAGTGATTCTCCTGCCTCAGCCTCCCATGTAGCTAAGATTATAGGTGCATGCCACCATGCCTGGCTAGTTTTTGTATTTTTAGTAGAGATAGGGTTTCGCCATGTTGGCCAGGCTGATCTTGAACTCCTGACCTCAAGTGTTCCACCCACCTTGGCCTCCCAAGGTGCTGGGATTATAGGCGTGAGCCACTGTGCCCGGCCAAAATTTACCTTTTTAAAGGGTACACTGCAGTGGCTTTTGGTATATTCACAAGGTTGTCCAAACATCGTCACTAACCTAATTTTAGGACATTTTCATCACCCCCCACCCCAAAGAAACCCCTTAAGGGGAGCAGTCACTCCCTCCCCTCCCCGGCAGGAGGGGAGGGAGTTTTCTGTTTCTGTGGATCTGCTTGTTCTTGGCTGTTTCTTTCTGTTTTGGATTTGATGAGACACATGATTCTTATCCATAAAGAAGCTCTTCCTCCCTGAGGCGCTGCTTGCTGTGAGGACTGGGGATGGCGAATGTGCCTCCTGCAGGGCACAGGGTAGATGTGCAACAACTGTGCCCTCCTGAGTCTGGCTACCGTGATGGGGAACCGAATGCTGGCCCATCAGAGCCTGGGGTGGCCGCTAACCTGCTGGGTGTTGCAGACCCTGCCCTCACACTCTCTCTGTTTCCTTGCAGACCCCTCGGTTGGACACCGGGCTTCGGCAGAGTTGCCTCCACTCTTGCATGCTTCCTCTGCAGAAGTGACAGAGGAAACAACTCCCAGGCCAGGCAGAGGTGCTTCGAGCCTGTCGTTGGCTGGCTCTGGGGTCTTCAGAGTCTGGGGAGTGGCAAGGGTGGCCAGCAGGCAGGGGTTCAGGGGAGGCCCCATAGGCCCCTCCTAGAAGTGCCAGTGAATGCCTAGAAAAGGGGTGAGCTAAGGGGGTGGCAGTCAAGGGCCACTTGTGCAGAGGGGAGTTTCCCTCCACTCCCTACCCTGCTGGGCCGGCCAGGGGCTGGGGAAGGAGGACTGAGGCGCCATCAAATTCCCTTTTCCTAGAATTGGGCCCCTGAACTTGCAGCTCCAGGGCCAGGAGACCCAGGAGAGGCTGTATGGTCTCTCAGGCGAGAGGGTGAGGCCCTGGCCTGGGAGACAGAGTGGGAAGACGGCTGAGCGGTGCTCTTGGGGAAAAATCATCAGAGAGGCCCTGAGGCTCAGTAATCAGAGGGAAACACGGCAGAGGGGCTTCCCAAAGCCCCTCCGAAATGCAGGCTCCTCTGCAGGGAGAGGATGAGGGATGAGCTATTGGCATTATTGTGGGGAGGTGGCTGGGAAGGGCAGTGACAGCAATCTTACAGCATTTAAGAATTCCTGAAACATCTTCACAGCTATTACCTCATTTTACTTCCCAAGAGTTCTGAGGCTAACTAGGGTAATTGAGGGCAAAACCACCTTTTTCCTGGCCTCCTTACAGATTCCTGTATCACACAAAGGGATTATTGCCTTTTTTGAGGACACAGAAAAGTGAGGGCACTTGATCAAGGTGGAGCAGAGCCTCATTCATTCACTCATTAGAAAGTGTGGATGGAGTCTTGTGCTGGCCCAGGCACAGCCACCAGCAGGAGGCACAGCCACCAGTAGGGGACACAGCAGAAAGGGAGGGCTTGTTCTGAAGGCGCTCACAGCCAGTTGGGAAGAGGCTGGTGCTGGGTATAGTCCAGGCATGGTGGGGACACTGAGAAGGGGAGCATCCCCTCTGTAATTGTCCAGAGGATTTCCCAGAGGAGGTGATCTCATAACTACTGGAAGAATGAGGAGGATCTAGCTTGCAAAGTGGAGTGGGGTGCGCGGCTGGGTGAGGACTGCAGGTGGAAGGAGCTGCAGGTGGGGTGGGGACAGTTCGCACTGGAGAGTGTGGGAGCCCAGATCCTGCGGGTCCTCTGTGAGTCGCTAAGGGACCTCACCCTGAAGGCGACAGCGACCAGGCCGGTAGCCGTGGTCAGATTCGGGTCAGAAGCTGGGCGACAGCCTGTCTTCTTCTCATCTAAGGTCTATCCTGGCACCTGTCTGGCTGCCCCAGGCTCACGGGCCACCTGGTCCGCGCTATCGGGTTCAGGAGGCCCTCCCTGCTAGCCCCTGCCTGCAGTGGGTGGGCAAGGCCAGGCGTGGAGCGGGCACAGGCCCGGGGAGCCACTTCGCGACGCCACTCTTCGGCGTCCTCGGCTTTGGGAGGGGTCCCGGGCGCAGCGGACCCCACAGAAGTCTTCTCTCCAGTCCCAGGGACCAGCGCCGGACCCGTAGGCGCCTCGCAGGGCCCGGCTTCAGCGGCCCGGCTTACGCAGAGCGGGAGCCCGGAGCCCCGCGAACCCGGCCTCAGCTACCCCTACCTGCGCGCTTCCGCCTCCGCTGGCCCGGCGGCCCTCCATCCCCAAGGGGCGGTGACACCCGGCCCTCCGGCCAACCTTACCTCGGTTTCGGGGGAAGGACCCAGGATGCCTCCGGTCACTGCCCCGGGCGCGTCTTCCTACCTCACGCCCTCCACGTCCCAGTCCCCGAGCCCTGCTGGTCCCGCCTCTCGCGGGAGCTTCTCTGTTCCCCAGGAAGTGACTGCGGTTCTTCTGGCCTCCGCTTCGAGCCCCCAGCTCAACTCCACCCGCCAAGCCCCAGCTACTCCCAGGACAGCAGCACCCAGTGGGTCCCCCACATCCAGCCGGGGCCTCGGCTCCCAAGCTCCCGAGAGCTCTCTGGGGACCAAAGAAAGCATCTCGGACTCATCTGGCTCAGGGAGCCCAGGCGCGCCCCAAAGGACAACTGCGCCCCATGACTCTGCAGCCCTGAGCCAAAACACCAGCCCAGAGGCAGCTGGGAGCTGGGCAGGGCTCCAAACAGGTGCCTGTCTGCGTCGCTCTAAGTTAGGACCTCTACCCGAGGCAGGCCCCAGGATCCTGGGGAGTTCCTTTCTTGGGACGACCAGGCCTGGCTTCCATGCGTAGGGCCCGGGCCGGGGAGTTGAGGATGAGAGGTGGGGTGTGGTGTGGGGATGCTGTGTGCTGGGCCAGTCTCCCCACCCCAGCTGCATTCCAGCGCATTCTACAGGGGTCCTGTCTGGCCAGAGCCAGCTCAGTCTCGTCGTCCCTGGGTAATTTAGGATGAAGATGGAGGTGAAGTGGGCTGATCTGGGGGGAGAAAGAATCCATTTTGGTTCTAAGAGCAAGAGTCTGACAGTTAAGAGTTGGAATATTGGCTCCAATACCTACTGTGTGGCTTTATGCGAGTTTCCTAACTTCTCTTAGTGTTCTCATCTCTCAATGACTGGCATCTGGCAGATACTCGATAAATGGTAGTTATTACCATTTTAATCTCAATTCTCTAGTGAAACGTTTAGTGACTCATCCTTCTCTCACCTCTCTCCTTACCTGAATAGATGGAGCTGGCCTCATTCTCATTTTATTAAATATAAACGACTACAATTATGAATTATTGAGATTGCAGAATCTCACAGGGCAGAGGCTGCTCTGTACTTCTTTGTATCTCTCCAAGGACTGGGATAGTGCACGCTGGTAGATGATTTAATTTGACAATCATTTCCTGAGTACTTGTTTTGAAGAAGGCATTGAACTGTGGATGCCAAGATGAGCAGGGCTGTTTCCTGTTTTTAGAAGCACATGGTCTCACAGGGACTAATGGAGACAGCCAGGACAGTTGGAAGGTGCTGCACGGAAGTGTGAACCAGGAGCTGTGGCAGGAAAGCGATTCGTTTCATTCCGCCTGGAAGGTGGTAATAGCATAGAAGGTGTAACAATGGAGGAGTGCATCTGGCAGAAAAGACTAGGAAGTTCTTCCTGGCAGAAGGAACAGCATGGGTAAAGACAGATGTCAAACTGTATGGTGTGTTTGGGAATGAGAAGCAGTTTGATGTGACTGGCATGGGCCACGTACTGGGGCAGGGAGTGGTAGGGGGTGGGGAGAAAGGGGTACGCTGGGGCAAAATCTGAAGGACTTGACCCCCCCAGTGGAGCCAGCAGAGGTTTACTCCAGGTGAGCAAAATGCTCAGATCTGTAGTTTCCAGAAGCAAGGTGGTTAGGATGCCGTTAGGACAGCGCTTTTATTAGGATGCTAAGTGAAAAAGGCACTATCAACGCTATGTACACAATACAGTCACAACAGGTTGAAAGAAAATATCAGACAATGCAGAGGCATCAAGTCTGGAAGGAGATGTGTGACAATGTGAACAGTGACTACATTCAGGGGATGAGAATATGGATGTTTCCTCCTCTTTTGTGTTTCGGAATTTTACACATTTATCCACTTCATTAAAGAAGTTTACGATGCTTTGGGTGGGGAAAGAGGTCTTTGGAGGGGCGGCCGATCAGGAAAGGAGGGACAGGAAACGTGTGTGTGGGGAAAGAATATTGCACAGTGTGGGGGAGTGGAACTGAGGCCTGTTCTGGAGCACTGGAGTGGGGAGAGACATGAGGAAATTGATTTTACATTGTTTGCAAGTGATGTTAACTGAAGTACCAATACATTTTTAAAAAATGCCCAGCTTTCGTTCACTGAACCACACAAATGCAAAGTTTAAAAAGATACTTACTCGGCCTGGCGCAGTAAGCGCCACATCCATAATCCCAGCACTTTTGAGAGGCCAAGGTGGGCGGATCATGAGGTCAGAAGTTCGAGGCCAGCCTGGCCAATATGGTGAAACCCCGTCTCTACTAAAAAATAGAAAAATTAGTCAGGCGTGGTGGCGTATGCATGTAGTCCCAGCTACTGGGGAGGCTGAGGCAGAAGAATCGTTTGAACCCGGGAGGTGGAGGTTGCAGTGAGCTGAGATTGAGCCACTGCACTCCAGCTTGGGCGACAGAAACTCCATCTCTCTCTCTCTCTCTCTCTCACACACACACACACACACAAAAGATGCTAACTTTTTCTTTTTGTTTTTTAGAGACAAGGTGTCACTCTGTGGCCCAGGCTGGAGAGTAGTGGTATGATCATAGCTCACTGCAGCCTTCAACTCCTGGTTTAAGCAATCCTTCCACCTCAGCCTCCCGAGTAGCTAGAACTACATGCATACACCACCACACCTGACTAATTAATTTTTTTTAAGATGGGATCTCATTATATTGCACAGCTGGCCTTAAACTCCTGGCCTCAAGCAATCCTCCTGCTTCACCCTCCCAGTGTTGGGATTACAGGTGGAAGCCATCACACCTAGCCAAAAGATGTAGTTTTAAAACTTATTTTTGTACTTACTAGTGTGGCAAAGATTTGAAAGAGGGACCATGCTGCGAATATGGGAAAAACAGTGGTCTCGGACACAGTAGGTGTGTCAACTGGGGCTACTACTCTGGTATCAGAATTTGTATCAGTTTTAACAAGTGCAAACTCTTTTGTACAGGAATTCTACCCTTGGGAATTAAGGAAATAATAATCCGAGGTACACACATAGATATGCACCCTCCACACACAGGGTTGTTTGTTGCAGCATTATTTATTACAGTGAAAAGCTGGAGACAATGTAATATCCACTGGAAGCAGATTGGTTAAGTAAGTTATGGTATATTCAGTGAAATACTACTATGCAGCCTTTAAAGTGAACAAGGGAGAGCTTTACACATTCAAATTCACAAATTCAAGAGTGTGAAGGACCTTCTACAGCAAAGTGTTAATCACGGGAGTCCCTGGGTTGGGGAGGGGATATATTTGCTTAAATATTTTATGATATACTCCAAATAAAAGCATTATTTCCATATTTGAAAAAATAAAAAGATATCTGCAAGGCACTGGCAGGACTTTGGTGAGTGAACATGAGAACAGGTGAGACGGAGCAAGGGAGCCGCTGAGGACACCAGGGTCTCTGGCTGGAGCACCTCTGGGCACGGCCAGTCATAGAAGGGAAGAGGGGGTGCTGGGGGAGAGGCTGAACTTGTTTTGGATGGAAACGGAGATGTTGAGCGTCCCTGGGTGCCACGGTGGGGGCTTGTGTAGTTGGCAGACAAAATAAGGACATTGGGCCCCTTGGAGCATAGGCTACTGAACAAGAAATTTTGATGAGGAAAAACCTCCTGATACTGCCCAAGCCCCACAGATCCTTCTGCCAGGGGTGCTTTCTGAAAGATGATGGTGTAGCTACACAAGAGCTAGGTCCAAGAGCCTGTGGGGGGTAAGTCAGGGATCGGCAGGCACCGAGGCTTCCCACCTCGCTGGTTACGCAGCAGCTAGCTGTGGTTGTCCCTGCCTGTCCTTTAGCTCAGGGGCAGTCACTAGTATCAGGCCACCTTACTCCTGGTTGTATTTGCAATAAATCTTTTATTTTCCCCTCCTGTAGCTGTGACCAGTGTAGGGAGTGGCACTGACAGAAGAGATACAGCTGCTGCCACGGAGGCCCAACATTGAGTTCAGAATCTAAAGACAAAACATCAGCACCAGAATCAGGTAAATGCTTCTGTCTACCAAGTTTCTCACTCTTAACAGTGGAGCAGCTGAATCTGGAGTCACTTCTTAGCACAGGGCCTTGAGACCTTTTCATGAAAGACAGCACAAAATGTTGGGAACAGGGATAGGAATAAAAAGGTGGATTCTAGCGCCGGGCGCGGTGGCTCAAGCCTGTAATCCCAGCACTTTGGGAGGCCGAGGCGGGTGGATCACGAGGTGGAGAGATCGAGACCATCCTGGTCAACGTGGTGAAACCCCGTCTCTACTAAAAATACAAAAAATTAGCTGGGCATGGTGGCGCGTGCCTGTAATCCCAGCTACTCAGGAGGCTGAGGCAGAATTGCCTGAACCCAGGAGGCTGAGGTTGCGGTGAGCGAGATCCTGCCATTGCACTCCAGCCTCGGTAACAAGAGCGAAACTCCGTCTCAAAAAAAAAAAAAAAAAAAAGGTGGATTCTAGTTATGCTCCATGACTATTATGAAAATTGAGGAAGAAGTTTCTGAATTCTATTTCTCTTCTGCAAAGGGGATGATGTAGTGAAAACTCCCCTGCCTATATCATACATAAGGGTTAGGTAAATTAGGTTGAGCACCTGAGTAACATAAATAGTAAAAACATTTCATAAAACCTAAGTAGGTGTAAGGAAGGAAATAAAATCATCTAAGCCCTTAGCTCGATTGATCGTATAACAAATACACGTATAGAGGAAAACCAGAAAAACTAACAAGAAAGAAACAAGTTAAGCGTGAAAATAAATTTGCCGTGATTGGCTAGCTTTAGCCAGTGCCTGCGGAAGAGCCTGAAATTTGCTATTTGATTCCGCGTGTCACAAAAGAATGTGGGACTCCTGAAAATTATCTAGTCTAGGAGACGTGTATGGAGGTAGCTGTTAACTTAGTTCCAGCGAATCGCCAATTCAAAATTTGGACAACATAATGAACTACTCCTACTAGAATTCTGTTGCTTTAAGAGCATATCTGCTCGAGCAGTTTCTTTTATCTTGGTATCTTTTTGTGAAATCCCAAAAAATCAGCATGTAGCAAATCATAATGCTGTCACAGAACGATCAAAGGGTTGTCTAGATCCTGACTGACTGTAAGAGAACTTGAAAGATCTAGAGTTTCAAGACAGGACAATAGCGATTAATAGAATCCCACATTGAAACATGGTCGCCTTTACTTTTTCAGGGCACTCCCTTTTTGTCAAAGGAACAACTCCAATGAAAAGAGATTAGTTTACCAATATAAAATCAAGCTCTGATGGACGAAAAAAACCAAGAAGAAAAATTGAAAGACCAAGTATACTTTTGAGAACAGGATGGAGACTTCCTACACATAACTCGTTCTAAAAATCCTTAGTGAACTTCAGTCTCGAAAATGAACCTATTGACATCATTAGATGGCACAGGTCATAATCATACAACAAAAGAGACCAATATATGTTAACAAGGTGAAGCAGAAACCTATGGAAATAAAAGACCATCCCAAATCACCTTAAGGTTCACCGCCCATCACTTTGGCGTCACGTAGGTAGAAAACAAGTTGGAAGGATGATTATGTGCTAAGCCCAGATAGATCAATTGTTATGAATTGATGATCTAATTATTAGCGTGGATACCTAACAAATATTCTAAAACAAAAAGAAAATAAATTTAATTTCCTATAAAAGTTTTTTTTTTTTTATATATTAAGTGTTTTTTTGTTTTAAAAAAGTACAAAGAGACAGGCACAAAAAAAAAAAAAAGATTCTGAGAGGGGGGATAAGTAAGGGATCTAAAGTAAAATGGGGATCTTAGGTGAAATTTGTGGCGCGGTCTTGTATTACCATTGTGTGTAGCTTATTGGGAAAGTAAACTTAGTCCTTATTTTTTATATAATTTAATTATGAGATGAAGGAGTTTGAGCTCTCTATTGGTTGCCCACAAAGAAAAGCTGGAGTGCAGTGAGAACGCGATCAATCATCTTCAACCTGCAAACCTCTGCCATCACGTGTTACTAGGGTTCCTCCTAGTCATCAGCCGATCCTTGGCTAAGCGGAGCTTACCAGAGCACCGTCCGCTAAACCTGGCTAAATTTATTGTTATTTTAAAAATAGAGATATGGGTTGATCACCATGTTGTGTCAGGCTGTGACCAACAAATGTTAAATTCCTACCTCAGGTGATCCACAGCCAACCTGGCCATCAGATGAGGCCAAAAGTGCTGGAATTACAGGCAAATTGAAAGCCGAAAGAACACACCTTGAAAACCAAGATGACCTTGGATAACGATATTTAGTCCTATCAATCTGAAGTCCTCGTAAGTATTATTCTCAAATGTGAAATAGGAACGTAGAAGTGGCTAACTCTATTGTATGACTCAAGTTATGGAGTTCAATTATATATCTACACAATATAAAAGTCTCAAGCAAAAACAAGATCATGACACACAAATTGTACTCAATGAAACAGTAGCTATACTATTATTCATGAGTCACAGCTGTCTTGCTCTGTCACCGGTGGGGCTTGAGGGAATTGACGGTAAAAGTTGGTGCATTGATAAGCTAACACATACCAAAACTCGAAAACATCCTGTGCTCAAAGCAAACCACTGCTACTCAGAGCATGTCCACAAAAAGTAGAGGCTGGGATTATTAAGATGAGGAAACCACCATGACCTGAGTTGAGGACTAAATCTAGATAAATGTTAGAATCCAAAAAATGCCAAAAATGCCTGAGCACATTAGAATATAGTGTTTTGTAGTATTCTTAGAATAAATACTTAACATGATTAAATGGCAGACATTATTATTTGGGTTCTAAAATAGGTTAAAACAGATATTGTGCCCAGTAGGGGAGACGCTGGGTGTGACAGGAAGGAAGAAATTAGTTTAGCCGTAACAACTAACAGTGAGGTTAAGGAAACAAAAGCTTCAAGATGGACGAAGTGATATTATATATGAAAAAACAGTGAGGTCTAAAGAATACAAAATTTTACTCGACTAAGAGATTGGGTGTATTGATAGTTATTCAGTATAAATAGTAACCACAGGTAGTCAGTTTGTCTATAGGGGAGTACCTCTATAGACCAGGTTAGTAAGTCCCACAATCTTAATATTTACAGAACAAAGGAAACGATTTGCAATTACCTAAAGTATAGGATGGGTTTAATTTTGCATAGTTTATATCCATAGGCCAAAACAAATAATCACGTGAAACTGAGCGAATTATATTGTGACAAATAGAAGTTCACAAATATAGATTTCAAAGATTTACTAGACAAAAGACACAAAGAGTAATGTGAGAGTGATTCAATCTCCTCACTCAAAAATAGAGTAAACAAAAAACCAACGAACACAAAACAAAAAAGTAAAAAGAAGGCAATTCAAAACAAAAGGAGACTATTAAAAACAACAACAAAGAAAAAAGACAAAAGACAAAAAATAAAAAAAGAAGAAAAAGACTAAAAAGTGAAGACTCAGGCGACGATCGATACAACAAAACCAAAAAACCAGACGCAAACAGGATGAGGAGGAAACAAGAGAGAGATATGACACACATATAACCATAGAATAAGATAAAGAAAACTAGGGTCTTATCTAGAAACTATGTATTTTGATGAAGATTTCTAAAGACCTAACTTAAGCCATATACAGGTGGTGATATTTGTTGTGGCCTATGAATAATTTGCAATAAACTAACAGGTTAATTGGCCAATGTATTTCCTTGTCTGTAAAATTAAGAATTGCTCGTCTAACTAGGTCTAATAGGGTACACTCATATCAGATAGAAAAAAGTTAGCACTGAGACGGAACGAGATACGAACAAATAGTGGTTAAGTTATCTGATATCAAGGGAATTGAGAAATGTATCTTTAAGGAATAGTACAACAACGTTCAAGAGTGGCTTGGTGTGATTATAAAAAGTTCAGGCAGTTAGAGGAAGACTCTATTTCAGCCAACAGAAAAGGCTAATCCAACATACTCAACTACAACGTCAAATTAAAAAAAAAATAAACAAAATACAAATAACACAACAACAAAACACCCAAAATAGACATCCAGTATCCGTAAAACTCAGAAAAAAAATAAAAACAAAGTAAAAACCGGAAAAACAGATAAGAAAACAAACAAAATACAAGTTAATAGTGGTACTAAGTCGAGTATAATACTCTAGAGAACGAAATATTCATATCCCTACTTAAAAACATAATGAACTACGGAACAAAAAACAAAAAAGAAAACCAGAATGCCAGTCGAGCACAATAAAAAAACAAAAAAACAATATGAAACCGTGTAGAGAGATGGCGCAAATAAATAACCGAGATTACTTTAAGAAACCCAAAAATAAATACATGACACAAAACACAAAAATGTAAAAATAACAATTCAGAAACATAAAACAACACGTACTAAAAAGTGATAAAGGGCATTAAGCATTCAACTAATAGACCACAAAGTACAAGACAAAGACATAGATAAGAAGAGCATGTGTGGTTAAGAGCCTAACCAGCCAACAGAAAGGGAAGAAAAATGGCTTGGAATAAATCCCAAGGGGGGAAGAAAGACATGAAGATAGGAGCATCATTTATTGGACGAAAGGACGCTGCTTGGGGGGTGTGGGTAACGCAAGGGATCTCGCTAATGAGCCGCGGAGAGGAGTGTTTAGTTTGCAGTGAGCTAAATCAATTGCAAGCCGACACATAGCACACTCAAGAAAAAAGCTCTGCCCAGGTGGACAACGGCAGAGCAAGACCGCACTTGACTAGTGGGATTGTAAATAACAAGATAAATAAGACTAATAATGTTCATTAGTACAATTGATGGTGTCATTATTGGCTGAGCCTTTATATGAATATTTAATTTAAATCATAACACGCAACCAATGAGTTAGACACCTTATTATCGTATCCTGCATTTCATGAGAAAACTAGAGGCTCAGAAAAGACTATGAAGATTACGAGTAAGGCAATGGTGGACATCCAC